GTGCTCAGGCAGCTGCAGCATTAGCATACCCGGCGTATAAGACGACCCCCCACTTTGGAAAAGATTTTCCAGGGGCAAAAAGTCGTCTTATACGCCGGAAAATACGGTAAGTTTTTGTGTCTCATATATTGCATTAACTGTTTCTTACTTTCTTATACTAAATACTGGTATGCCGCCAAGGTTTTTGTTGTAATAGTTTTTCATCTCCATTTTTTTTCTCATTCTCAATTTGTGATTTATATTATTTAAATATCCAACAGTAGTCAGTCAGTATAGCAGGACTTAGCTACAACAATCTAGAATTTTCACATATTGTTCTCTCACAAAATGAAGTCATATGCCAGGGATGACATGTTTCAACCCATAAGTCAGACTTCCTCAGACCGAACTTAGACGGGTAGTAGAAGGATACATTGTGGAAAGACCTAGAAAAAGGTTAACTACAGTGGAAAATTTTAGAGATCAATATCTTTTAATTCTAGCTTATATTGCCATCCAATAATGCTGATACTAACCAGAGTGGTAAGGGGATAGTGACTGTGGCGGTATACCCTACTAAAGATGTGTTGGTACTGCCTGTGGTCGCCTCTTTCTGGTTGTGATAGCTCCAGAGTGATTATAGCTGCCAGTGATTATAGGTATTGCCAAAAGAGTAACCGCGGTATCACCCACACACCAGTTGAGGCTTAGTGAAGGGTGAAGAAGATCTGTTTATTTCTAGCCAAATGGCTTACATTTATACAGAATCTGAAACAGTAGACACTCCCCAAAACACACTCACAATGTATCCACAAAATACATTGTCATCGTGTCTCAGCAATAATGTAACAAATATGAAAAACCATAAAAATTCATATGTCCCACATAGGAACCCCCATAGCCTGTACACCCCTGGATAACCTGGATCTGAGTGCCCAACTAGTCAAAATAGTGCTTAGATCCCACAAACACAGTCGAATCACCATCGGGGTAAAGTTCTGACCAACCGTACATGACGCGCCTGCCCAAAACAGTTTCAGGGATTCAGTTGTAGCGGCTGGCCACCTTCGGGAGTTCCCTGTGACCGAAATACCGAATGCACACTTTGACTCTTTGGTAGCGTTTGTCTTTACACAGATTGATGACACTTTTTGATGTACATTTTATTAATCAATAGATATATTTTCTTTATAAAAACTATATATTTAGAGCTCCTTCCTTGTTTGTTTAGTGATCTAATATTAGGTTTTTTGCAATGTGCCGTTTAACTGCTCTGCTAAATACATTTATTGTGAGATAATTATGTGTGCACATATACTACATATTTTTGTTGTAGCAAGGCAACTGCACTTAACCTTTTGAGTGATGATAAAGTATGTAATGAGAGTAGACATTAAACAAAATAGTACAGAATATGTAGGTGAAAGTATAAAAGAAAATGTAAAAAATAGAAATGATGTAGATACAATTATTGTTTGCATCCTTGAAAGGTGCAATGTGCCCTCGTGCCTTGTACATCCCACTATCCATTGACCAAGCTATAGATATGAATGTGTCTAGGTGGTTCTATTTATTATTTTAAAAATGTGTATACTGGCACAGAAATCTTTTTAATATAAATTAGGCACTGCAAACAAATAGCACATTACCACTAAAAACCATATAACCACAATATGCCGATGACACACGGTACCCAACCATGCAGAAGATAATCACCATGCTGTACTAGAGGTTAAGACCATATTGTCTCCCTGGTGAGCAATAGCTGAAACATTACCAAGGTTTCCAAGATCCATTGGATAATCTGACAGCGGATGTTTGAACTGGGAGGAGTTTAAATTACCATTTTGTATATTTCTTACTATATTGAAAGAGGCCATTTAAGACAAATTTTATATTTAATCCGAGCTGACCCAAACCATCTGGCATATGTAAAAGACTATTCTGCACACATCATAATCCATAAACTAGATGACAGTTAATCTAGGTCATCTAGGTCCACATTGGGTGACTGGAGAGGCAGACACAAACCGATCCTGAAGCCCGATGAACCGCAGCAACGGGGCAGCCAAGCACACGGCACGCCTAAAATGACGGCGGCAAGCCTACCATGCGAGCAATGTTGCATACCTGAGATGGAGGACTGCAGCGATGTGCAGCAGCGTCTAGGTGCAACTTTTACTCAATTCTGGATCAAGCTCTGGGAACGGCGGCAAGAACCTTAGGCAAAACTGCAAACCCTACCATAAAAGGGCGAGCAGAGCCGTGAGCACAGGGAGAAGAGAGAGGCACCCTCGAAGCACATGGAGGCGAAAAGGCAGCATGTACACAAGAACGGAGCTGAGAGCAAAGGGAAGAGGCACCCTACTCTGGGCAAAGCAATTATATCCACACTAACCACACAAGCACGCAGCCCACATAGGACAAATGGATAACTGTTCAGCGCTAAAAATTCTAAAAGAAACTAAAATAAGTATAAAAGCAGCAGGGGCGGACTGACCGGTCGGGCACTTCGGGCACGGTCCGAGGGCCCGGCCGGTAGGGGGGCCCGCCACCAGG